GATTTTCAGGGTGAAGCGGCCGTCGGGTTCTCCGCCTGTCTTCAAGGCACGTTACGTGGCTCGAGGCTTCAGTCAGCGGCAGCGAGTTGAATACTTTCAGACCTTCTCTCCCACCCCAAAGATGACCACTCTTTAGGTGCTGCTGCACATAGCCGCTCAGCGCGACTACGAGCTTTACTCTCTTGATTTCCGCACAGCTTTCTTGCAGGGCAGCCTGCACGAGGAGAGATGGCTGCGCCGCCCATCTGGCTTCACTGGGTCGTTTCCTCCTGGTACCCAGTGGAGCCTCCGGCGGCCAGTCTACGGTCTACGCCAGGCGCCCCGTGAGTGGCACGACACACTGAGGACTACACTTGCGGCTCTTGGGTTTGCTCCTTCCACTGCCGACCCGTCGCTGTTTCTACGCACCGACACCTCTTTGCCGCTGTTCTACATCCTCGTGTACATCGACGACTTGGTCTTTGCCACTACTGACACTGCTGGACTCGCCCACGTGAAGTCCGAGCTGCAGAAGAGACACACGTGCATAGACCCGGGTGAACTGCGCAGCTACCTTGGCTTGCAGATCACCCCGGACAGAGCACAGCGCACCATTACCCTGACTCCGTCACACATGGTGCAGCAGGTCCTTCAGCGCTTAGACTTCACGTACTCCTCACCTCAGGCCACTCCTCTGTCTACTCGCCACTCGCTCTCTGCTCTGCCTTCGGATGAGTCCTTAGAGCCGAGTGGGCCGTACCGAGAGCTTGTTGGCTGCCTCATGTACCTGATGACCTGCACTCGACCTGACCTTGCATACCCTCTTAGCATCTTGGCACGCTATGTTGCTCCTGGGAGACACCGACAAGAGCACATGGCTACAGCGAAGAGGGTGTTGCGCTACTTGTGCAGTACGTGAAGCATGGGGCTAGTGCTTGGAGGGCGGCGTTCAGTGGTCCTCACAGGTCACGCAGACGCTTCTTGGGCTGACGACCAGGTCACGCAGCGGTCGTCACAGGGTTACACCTTCAGCCTTGGTTCCGGCTCTGTTTCGTGGCGGTCTACCTGCTCGTCTTCTGTTCTCGGCTCTAGCTGTGAGGCTGAGATCTACGTGGGGGCCATGGCTGCACAGGAGCTACGCTGGCTCACCTACCTGCTGACTGACCTAGGAGAGCCGCCTCGTTCTCCTCCAGTTCTGTACGTAGACAACAAGGCCATGCTGGCCTTGTGTTTGTGTGCACAGACTGGAGCACAGAACGAAGCACATTGCTCTTCGCAACTTCCCTGCAGCAGCGTGGTCAGCTGCGCCTTGCTTATGTGGCCTCTCAGGCCAACACTGCTGATATCTTTACCAAGGCACTTCCGCCTTGTGATCATCAGCGCTGCTGTACGATGCTAGGTCTTGTGCCTACTTGGCCTCACTTGCTCACTTCTTGACCTTGCTTGTACTGTGATCTTTCTATACGTGCACTTGCTTGTTTACCTTTATATATGATCTTGCATGTGAACTAGCCTTGTGGCCTTGAACTTGTGCTCGGAATGTGTGGTGACGTTGTGATCCACCCTGAGCTTGCTTTGCTTTGCTTGACTGGTCTTGTGACCCCTTGTTCTCCCCCACTTTGCCTATGGGGGTGTGTCAGACTTGTATGACTTAGCCTATGTAGGGTTTGTACTTGTACCCAACCTTTGCCTTAGTCAATCATTCCTCATTCTTTCACACTTCAAGTCTATTTATACATGAGCTTTTAATAATAGTTGGAAAAACTAATATAACACACCCATCCCACGCTTATTCCATGTCGGGGGCAACTGGGCTCGTCTTTGTTGTTTTGCCCCTTTGTTGAAATTGTGGCGAACAAAGAATTTCCTTCCAATGTCATCATTGTCTTGAATGATGTTTTGGGAATGGTCGGTACTTATTGTGCAACGAGACGTGTTTTGAAGTCGTAGTCTATTTTTATTGCTGAATTTGTAGCTTTGACTGCTCATTTTTTTCGCCGCGTCGAATTCCTCCCCCGTTTACATGGATTGCGCAACGCCATCTAACTCCCACACTTGTTTCTAACATGCTTTTCCTGATTCTAAAAACCATTCGACCGTGTTGGCTCGTCAGTTTGCCTAGTGGACATTGTGGAGGTCTTACTATTCTATGACCGCGTCATATGTACAGTTAACCGAGTCGAGGGAAGACATCACAACCTCTGTCTTCTTTTGTTGTGAACAGTATCTGATCAACGAATGCAAAAGATGTTGGCCAAATTACCTTTTCCTAAGCTTCGCAAATTTTGGTTGCGTTAATGTTGCGAAGAGTCAATCCACAATGGGGGGTGAAGTTTGTTGGAGGTCACAAGTTGTACGGGGTGATCAAATTGTTGCTTACGTTCTCACGAAGAAAAGAGAACAACATTAGTACAATGGCGCGACAAAGTCGATATAGCAGGAACACAACTAACAACCTAGCAAGTCGGCTTCCGGCGCAGCATGAAGGCAGATTGCCAACGCTGCAGGAAGGTAGCGTCTCAACGCAGCGTGCCAATGGTGAAACAAGGCGGCTTGCCAGCTTTGCACCAAGGGGGCCTGCCAGCACTGCCGTCGAAGGTGAACAAGTGCGCACATGTGTGTCACCTTCCAAGTAGTTGTAGGTCTGCACAGTAGACGGATGCGTGCACGTCATGCTTGTGAAACACATTGCATAGGTTCCATGTTGTACAACATGTGGTGCTCATTCCGCATGTCGACAATCGGCAAAACAACATGAGACAATCGCAGAGTTTCACATCACTTGGTCGACTCGAAGAGGCCGACGTTAACGACGGTCGGTCAATGTACGCAGATCGGCGCCATGTCGACAACCACCTTCATTGACCGTCGAGGCTAGACGTCGTTCGCTAAATTCACTTCGTCAGCCAGCTTCTGGTCGGCGTCACCATAGTTGGCTTCGCTGTGCTCAGCAACGTGGAAGTCACCTTCGTGTGATCGGCATCGCTGAAGTAGGCTTTGTTATGGCCGGCTTCGGCGAAGTCAGCTGACCAAACCCATCAACTTCCTCCGCGAAGTCAGCACCAGCCATGAAGCTTAGCTAGCTGCTCACCTTGCGCACATGTCAGCAAAGTCAGCTTCGCCCAAGCGAGGGCAGTGCCTTTTATTATCAACACTCCCCTGCCCAGCTCCAGCATGGGCACACATTGACACATGCAAGGTTCACCCAGAACCTACATAGTAGTATACAATTAGGATTTTCGTCAGCGTGCACACCCTTGCAGACTATTCATCGCACTAGCCATGTTGAAGGACATGGCGCCAACATTTGCACATTGTCGTAGCGGACGTCGGCAAGGCCAACTTGGTTGATCATGAGTGAAGTGCATTCGTGAGGAAATCCGTCGTTTGCTCGGTGGTCAGGATGTACTATAGCACAATTTTATTGCGCTTCACCATCTGCTGCAGCTAGAAGTAGCATTTCTCTATGCATTTGAGGTTTCTCTTCAGCCCCTGACCGCGATGGCCAACTGGTTGTCCACTTTGAGGGCGATCGGCGTCCCAATGTCGGGGAGCTGGAACTTGGCGAGGAGGAAGCGAAAACGACTTTGCCACCTTGCTGACTTCGGTGGCAGCGATCTGCTCCGACTCAGGTCGAGGACAACATCACGCACTTGATGCATTGTCTCGTCCAGGAAACAATTGCGCCGTCGAAGACGAAAATGTTGCCATTCGTGCTGTTGGGCATCTGCTTGTTGCCGGCGTTGGCAGCATCCACGTAGACAACCAAACACAGATTCCGACTCGCCGCTAAACTCGAGGGCGGCATTGCCCCAATGCTAGTTGCTCCGCAATGTCAAGCCAGACCCCAAATTGCTACACATGAAGGAGATGTGCGGCCAAGTTTTGGTGGCAGCAAACTGCAGCAAGCTAATGTTCCGGCAGTACTCCTCTTCATCGTGTAGTTGGAAGTTGTTGTAGTCGAACATCAACTCCGCACATGCATCGACAAAAACTCGCTTCTTCGGACGTCGACCAGTCTGCTCGTTCTCAATGAAGCGCATGTGCAGCTTGTGGACGTACTACTGCTGGTGGAGTTACAAATTTCATGCAGGTCGGGCATGCACTATCTCCAGCCCCAGGTACTTCTAGACTGGGCTGGTCTTACGCAACTCAAAGGCACTCTGAAGTAGCTCGTGCAACTCCTTCAGCACCACAACATTGCCGCTTGCGACAAGAAGGTCATAGACATAGACGAACACCTATCACGCCAATTAGTCATCGCCAACTTTGAAGTAGAGGCCTAGGTGACCTGGCTCTTATTCTAGCCGGCGCTATTCAACACGCTGCTGAGCGCTGAGTACCACAGCAGCGTGCTCTGCTTGAGGCTTTCAAGCTCGTCAATACCTTGCACCTGCAATTTGTGCTGTTCATGTTGTAGTGAGACAGCTGATCCATGTAGAGCACGCGGTCTAGCTTGCTCTCCAGACACGTGTTCTTCATGTCAAGCTGCATGAGGTGTAGGTCAACGACGTCGACGATAGAGAGGAAAATCCTCAGCGCGACATCGCTGCTGACCGGCGCATACGGCTCCTTGTAGTCCGCGCCGTCGACTTGGGTGAAGCCTTTAACCACCAGGCGCGTTTTTTTTCGCGGGCGACCGTGTTGTCGACGTGGTACCCCGTTATGAGCACCCTTCTGATCTTCAAGATGTTAACGCTGCGAGGTTGAGGCACAAGCTCCCACGCGCCGTTGGCGAGGAGACTCCGTACATCCTCGTCCATTGCCGCTTTCACTACCTTTCCTTTCCAACTCGTCACCGCCTCCTTGTCGGTCATCATCGATATGTCCTAGCGCCATTTAGGATCGGTGTGCATGATGGGATCTAACTCGGACAGTCCAACGTCGGCATGCATATCGTCGAGGACCGTGTTGGTGAACATCGGGCACAAGTTGGGCCGGCACTTTGGAGGAAACACCAAAGTTGGAGCGAGTGGAATGTCGCACCACCAAAGTCGACTGGGACTTCACCACATGGCTTGATGAGCTGTCGCTGGACAGATCCCCCTTCATCGGCTCTCCTTCATCAGTATCGGCTTTGCTGATGACTTCCACAACCTTGTTTGACGAGCCGTCATCGAGCTGCTTCCCTGTCGTCGGCTCCCCTGCCGACTGTTCCCTTATCGTTGGCTCCACTGTCGTCGGCTCCCCTTCGTTGCTGGCTTGCTCGATGCCAACCATCAAGCCTAGGGCAACGCTGCTACGCGGCACCAAAGCCATTGCACATATGGTCCCCTCATTGCCGGTGGCCACCGTAGATGCCAACTTAGGCAAGTTGGCGACGAGCGGTGGAGGAGAAGCAACCGCGGAAAGTTACAAGGCCACCGACAGCGGGACAGCGGGAACTTAGAGAGGAGGAGGAGGAGGAGGAGGAGGAGGAGGAGGAGGAGGAGGAGGAGGAGGTGTCAAAATTAGAAGGAGAAAGAGGGATGAACTAGCAGAAATGGGGATACAAATAGCAAACCCTAGAAGGGTTGTACTCGCTATAGAGCACCCCACTACAGGCTAGAACATAAGAATAATATTCTGACACACCCCCATAGCCAAAGTGGGGTGTAATCAGCAGAGCAGGCAAAACAGTACAAGCTCAGGGTGGATCACAATGTCACCACGCATTCTGAGCACAAGGTCAAGAAGAAATAGTTCAAAGTTAACAATTATGAGCAAAGCTAGCAGTGGTCACAACGGGCAAGTGAGGAGGAGGAGGGAGAGTGAGAGGAGAGGAGATAGAAGGCGGCGGCTGAAGCTGCAGACACACGGGCAACAGGAGTGGCGAGCACAGTGGCTACCGGGACAGCGCCCCGGACTACGGGAGTAACAGGCCCCGCGGCTCAAGTGGCGGCAGACGGGCAACGGACCCACAGGCGACCGGCTCAGCGACAAGCTCACTGGGCTACCGGGACAGCGCCCCGGACTACAGGTGCTGCGGACGACAAACTGGCAACCTCCGCTCAACCTCCCACACACAGTCCCACCCCCCTCATACACACCCACTGCTACACCGCTAGCTCCACTCCCACGCACCCCCCTTAAACCCTAAACCCAGTCTCCCACACAACCACCCCCCTCAGCGACAGCTGCAGCAGTGGGAGACGAAGGAGGAGGAGGAGAAAGGGAGGAAGGCACACCGAGCACCCCCATACCCGCCACCCCACAGCTCGCCCCTCCCGTCGTCTGTCGTGGCGACCTGAGGGGGCCGCTTGCGGCCCCCGAAGGAGCCGCGACGGGCGACGGGAAATGGGGGGGAGGGGAAGAAAGGGGGGGGGGGGGGGGGGGGGGACGGGGCCGCGACGAGGGGCGGGGCCGCGACGGTCGGGGCGGGGCCGCGACATAGGGCGGGGCCGCGACGTAGGGCGGGGCCGCGAAGGTAGGGCGGGGCCGAGCCAGGCAGGCGCACGGGCGGCGACGGGCCGGGGCGGGGCCGCGACGAAGGGCGGGGCCGAGCCGGGCGGGCGCACGGGCGGCGACGGGCCGGGGCGGGGCCGCGACGAAGGGCGGGGCCGAGCCGGGCAGGCGCACGGGCGGCGACGGGCCAGGGCGGGGCCGCGACGTAGAGCGGGGCCGCGTCGAGGGGCGGGGCCGCGACGATCGGGGCGCGGCCGCGACGTAGGGGAGAAGCCCGCCGCGCGCCTCGGGGCGCACAGCGGGCAATGAGCCGCCGCGCGCCTCGGGGCGCACGGCGGGCAGAAAAACCGCCGCGCGCCTCGGGGCGCACGGCGGGAGGAGAAAGGTAGCAGCGGAAGCGAGGTGGTAACCCACCCACAGGATCGATCCAAGGGGATCGACCTGCTCTGATAGCATGACAAAATTAGAAGAAGAAAGAGGGATGAACTAGCAGAAATGGGGATACAAATAGCAAACCCTAGAAGGGTTGTACTCGCTATAGAGCACCCCACTACAGGCTAGAACATAAGAATAATATTCTGACAGGAGGAGGAGGAGGAGTAGGAGGAGGAGGAGGAGGAGGAGTAGGAGGAGGAGGGGGAGGTGCGTCCTCGGTGTCAGGCGGTCGTCGTCCTCAGTGTCAAACAACTAAGTCGCCACTGGAGATGAATCTATTGGTGGGGAGACCAGAGTCGGTGCCGACGCCGGCCCATGTTCCGCCTTCCAGACCTCCAGCGACAGTATCTCATAAAAAAGGCTTTGACGGTGGTGATGATGGGGTTGTCGGTCAGGTCAAGCACCTCCTTGCCTTTGCTCGCCAACGAGGACACCGAGGTGGATCCCCCAGCGTTCCTTCGACGCCAGCTTTCCGCGACTCTGATGCACCAGGACCATGAACTATGCCATACAACGTCACGTGCGTGCCAATGTGAGGTTCGGCTTCGCAACATAAAGCACCTCGTGCGGCGTCTTCCCCGAAGGCAGAGAAGCATGTTCGAGGCAGTTGTGCACCCACACAGCTTGGTACCAGGTGAAATGCCACCAATGAGACTGCACACCTAGAGCAAGAGCAAGAGCATCGACCGCATGGCTTCGACAACTGTGCGAATTTCTCGCCCAACCATCCAGTTTTGCTGTGGTGTGTAAGGGGACGTCAGGTCTTGGAAGATGCCCTTGTGCTCGACAAAGTCAGTGAAGGCGTGGTCGAGGAACTCCCCTCTGCATACTGGTCGGAGCATCTTCACCGAATTCCTAGTCTGCCACTCCACTGCCTTCAACCACTTTTCGAACACCTCCAGCACGTCGCTCTTCCTTGCGAGCGAAGTGGACCCATACAAAGCAGGTCTTGCGGGCCTTGAGGAGGAGGAAGTAGAGACTTCCATCTTTGGTGGCCAAGAGACGCAGGAGACACAGGGACGAAGCAAGAGGCGCAGGGCAAGTCGGCGCGATAGAAGGCTTAATCTCCATTTGGCGGCGGCGCCATGTGCCACCGGCGTGCGCAAGCCAGTCATGCCAAATGTCTATCATCGACCTCGTTGACGATGCAATGATCCGCAGTGCAACGGTCTCTATCAGCAGTCTAGGTCGGAGGTCGGTGCAGAGGACCCGGCTGGCGTAGCTCGCACGATTGAGCATGACTCCCATAGCCGACCATGCAGTATCTCGTTGCCGTCGTCCCTGCACCTTTATGCTGCTGTCCTTCAGCTAGCCGATCAATAGCAAGTTCGTCTGCGCTTTGGGGACGTACAGCACGTCATGGATGAGGATCTCCTTCTCGGCATCCCCTTGCAGCGCAACCGTGCCACGGCCTTGGACGACTCAAATTGCGCTATTGAAGCCGCACACATAGCTAATGTTGCCTCCCTGCTTTATGTCGACAAAGGCCTCTTGAGTTCTCATCAGGTGATGGGAGAACCTGCTGTCAAGGAGCACCACGGTTGGGTTTGCGTGCATGGTCGCAGCGACCGCATGGAAGTCTTCGTTGGCCTGTGATGCATGTGAAATGGTGAATCCACCATGTGGACCATGAAGCACGACGCCGCTGCGTCGCTGCGTGCATTGCCACTCAAAGAGCCGTCGTCCATCGCCGACAACGTCTTCGACGTCTGCTTCTCCTTGCGCACCTGATTGTCGTGTCGATGACAGCTTGTGTCGTTCTTCTCTCGACCAAATTCCTAGCCATCGTCGGACTCTTTGCAGTCACGGCAGTCGTATGAGAGGTGCCCTGGTTCTCCACAAACATAGCAGTGGCGCCCAACTCAGCGTTTGTTGCTGCCACTACGATCTTTCTCCTTGGTCGATTTCGCGTGGTCAAAGTTGTTCGCCCGACTTTTTCCTCGCCGACTTTTCGTCCAAATGGCCACCTATGCCCAACTTTCTACACTGCCCCTGTTGACACCCCTGCTATGTTGTGGCGACATAGTTGGCCTACGGAAGGAGCTGACCATTAGGTCCAGACTCCAGCATGATCTAGTCTTCGATGATGAAGCTCGCCAAGCAGCCTTCATCTGAGCGCAGCACATCAGGGATAGACATGATCCGGCGCATGAGATTGTAGCCCATGGGAAGTCCCTTGATGACGTGCGTGATATAGAACACCACCGCACATTCAACGCCGGCCATCTACAAATCGGCTAGAATCCGTCGAGCGCGGTTGTAGTAATCTGTCGCCGACTCATGCTCCCATCATGAAATTGGTCAGCCGCTGCTTTAGTTGGCCGATGTAGAGGTCGGCGTACCTTGTACGTCCTCATGATGAACTGCCAGGCCTAGCGTCCATGCGAAGTCGGCAAGGCTTCTTCTCGAGATGACCATCAATGTTAGTAGATCGACATCGACGTCACCTTGCGAGCCGCTTATAGCCGCGGACTCAGCACTTGCGCCTGAATCCCACAAACACCAACAACGTCAGCTCTGTCAGGCCCTCGAATCATTTTGTGCGTCAGGGCCTCCATTGTTGACAACGTTGGCGCCGCCTTCGTTGTTTCCAGCTCCAAGAGGGGCGGACGCACCGTCCACCTCAGCACCGGGAGGGGGGTACTTGCGTGCCCACTGCGCAAAATTTCCAAGGAGAAAGATCTCTAAGTGCACCTTGCCAGAATTGCCACACTGGTGGCGCTCCTGCACAACAGCCTCTCGCTCCTGCATAATATCTTCTACTCCTGCAGCGACTACTAGCTCGACCATGAATGTCTAGACAACTGCCAGCCTAATGACGACTTAGCTAACACGCAACGGTTGGTCTAACATCAGCGGCTATTGAGGGGCCATCCACGCTCACCGCACCATGCAGGGAAAACTCCAGTTTGCTAACCAAGTAGGATAAATAGGGCATGTTTCTATGGTGGGTCAACCACACCCATACCCCCACCAAGACAACGCCTCTAGCCCTTGGGGAGACCGTTCCGGGCAATTCTAATGTTCACTTCCTAACACTCCCTTCATTGGGAGGCCCACCACTAGGGCACAGGAAGTCCCCCGTCAGCAGGAATTACAGTACGTAGGAGGTCATGGGTTGTACTGGGTGATCAGAGTGTTGCTTGAGTTCTCACTTCCTGTTGTGTTCGTGGGTAAATTTGGCAAGAGTTGTGCTAAGAAAATAGAACAACATGAGTACAATGGCACGATAAAATTGATAGAGCAGGAACACAATGCAACACACCTAGCAGCCTCGCAAGTCGCCTTCGTAGCGCAGCATGAAGTGGTGCTTGCGAACGCTGCGAGAAGGCAGCGTGCCAACGCTGCAGCAAGGCGGCTCGCCAGCGTTTGCACCAGGTGGCTTGCCAGCGTTGCACCAGGTGGCTTGCCAGCACTGCAGTTGCAGATGAACAAGTGCGCACATATGTCAGAACATTATAGCTTATGCTGTTGTGTAGGCTATAGTGGGGTATCCCATAGGGGGTACAACCCAATTAGGGTTTCCTATATGTACTCACTTCATTCATAGTTGATTCATTCTCGTTCTAACTTTCTCATGGTATCAGAGCAGGTTCCCCCTGTTAACTGTGCTTAGGGCCCACCACATCGAGTTTTTTCCTGCCGAAGCGCGGCTCAGCCCGAGTCGAGGCTCAAGGCCCTCACTTCGTCGAGCCGCCCTAGCGGCCCTTCACTGCGGCCCCGCCGCTGTCTCAGCGGCCTCCCCGCCCTTTGCTGCGGGCCCGCCGTCTCTGCGTTGGGCCCGCCAACCGTCTTAGCCGGCCCCGCCACCCGTCTTCGCGGCCCCGCCGCCTCTCTCGCTCGGCCCGCCGCCTCTCACTGCAGCCCCGCAGCCCGTCTCAGCGGCCCCGCCGCCCATCTCCGCGGCCCCGCC